ATAAGGGTAGACTAGGCAAGTTCAAACACATATGACTGTTGAGGTAAATTTAATACATTTTAACAGATTATGCACTGATAGAGGTCATGCATGGTATAAATGTGGTGAATAACACATGTTTTTCTTCTTATACTCTTTTTCTGCACACAACTGTGTATGTGTGTGTGTAGGTGTGTATGTGTGTAACATATGGGGCTTGAACTCATGACCCCAACATCAAGAGTTTATCGACTGAGTTGGCCAAACGCCCCTTTTTGCACAGTTAAGAAGTAAAGACATGCACCAGAGTAATACGAGTTATTTTAGGAAGGGTATTCATATATTATTCTGTGGGAATACCCCACATTAAAAAAGAATAATTTCTGCATGAAAACCAATCACATGGAAACAATTTTTCCAGGAAGGCACAGAAGGCCACATTACCAGAATGCTAGAAGTTCTTAACCAAGATGAAGCTGCAATTCAAAATTCTATTTCTTTGACAAAAGACAGCTGCTAATACTTGAAAACATTGCACAACTCTTTCAAAAGGAGATTTCTTGGTGGTAAACTTAAACCATGGGTCCATAATCTTTTCTTAAATCTGAAAGTATATCAAAGAATTTGGCCTAGCCAAAGATGACCTATTAATTTCCTTTTAAATAATGGCTTTGAGATTTAATTCAAAAATTAAAAAATTAAGTATACAATTCAGTGGTTTATTAGCAGAGTCACAAAGTTGTGTAACCATCACCAATTTCCAAACATTTTATCATCCCCCAAAAGAAATCCCATACCCATTAGCAATCATTCCCCATTCCTCCCACCCCCGAGCCCCTGGCAACCACTAATCTACTCTGTTTTCCTGGATTTGTCTCTACAAGTGGAAACACAGAAGATGTGGCCTTTTGTGACTGGCTTCTTTCCCTTAGCATGATGTTTTCAAGGTTTATCCTTTTTACTGGTGAATAATATTCCACAGTACAGATATGCTAAGTTTTGGTTATCCATTTATCACTTGATGGACATTTGGGTTGCTTCCACTTTTTGGCTATTATGAAAAATGCTGCTGGGCGCCTGGGTGGCTCAGATGGTTAAGCATCTGCCTTCGGCTCAGGTCATGATCCCAGGGTCCTGGGATCGAGTCCCACATCGGGCTCCCGGCTCAGCTGGGAGCCTGCTTCTCCCTCTGACCCTCTCCCCTCTCATGCTGTTTCTCTCTTGCTCGCTCTCTAAAAAATAAATAAAATCTTTAAAAAAAAAAAAAAAAGGAAAAGAAAAATGCTGCCATGAGCACTTATGTATAGGTTTTTGTGTGGACAGATACTTTAAGTTTTCTTGGATATACACCTAGGAGTGGAATTGCTGGGTCACGTGGTAATTCTATACTGAACATTTAAAGGAACTGACTGTTTTCCACAGCAGTGACACCATTTTACATTCCCAGCAACAATGTATGAGGGTCCAATTCTCCAAATCCTTGTTAATACTTGTTGTGGTCTTTTTTTTTTTTTTTTTTTAATTTCAGCCACCCTAGTGGGTGTGAAGTGGTATTTCATTGGGGTTTTGATTTCCATTTCTCAAATGGCTAATGTACTTATTAGCCATTTGTATATATTCTTGCGAGAAATGTCTATTCAAATCCTTTGCCCATTTCTTAATTGGGTTATTTCTCTATTGTTGAGTTGTAAAAGAGCCTATTGATCTTAGTGTGAATGCTTTAAGACAATTGGAATTTAACTCAAAAAACCTTGGAGAATAAGTGTTTTTACCCTGCAATATGAATTAGAGAAGCTCTAATTCCTTCGGAAACAATTTGTGAAATTGAGATTTTTCAACCCTGCAGTCCATTAAAACAAGAAAATTTGAACTGATTGGTTGTCCAATAGGACATGCATATTGTCTTATCCAAAGACCATCCCAATTTAATGTTGTGATTCAAGCTAAGCAGCCTTCACACTGGTGTCTTTCAACTTTAATTTGCCTCTGCTTGAACGTACTGTATTGGGGCATTTGGCTGGCTCAGTCGGAGGAGCATAAGACTCTGGATCTCAGGGGTCAGGAGTTCAAGCCCCACGCTGGGCATAGAGATTAGTTAGATACATAAAATTTTAAAAATAAATAAACTGTACTGTCTTCTTATTTAATGCATTCAGGTACATATTTTTCTATCACAAGCTTGTTTTAAAATCGGTACCTTTCAAATTCTTTTCTTTGAAATCCCATGTGTTTTATTTAGACCTTTAGACACAGGATTCTGAACAGATCTCAGACTGCCAAACTGGTCCATGGGAAAAAGAAGCCAAGCCCTTGCTGCCAACTGCACAGAGGAAGAACATAACCTTCCGAAGGGCAGGAGGGGGCACTACGGCATTTTTTTCTTAATGTTATACCAAAATATAGCTAGTGACAATGAGCTTCTGGATTTTTCCGACCTCGATCTCATGTTGTATACTGGAATGGCCAATATTGCCAATTTGATTGGGAGCAAAAGAAAAGTTGAAGCTCTTCTACATGAAAAGTCTTTCACCTTTAAAGAGCAACCAAATAGCTATTTCCGAGATAGCTTGTTTGTAATGATTCCAAGCAAGTCTGTAAAGCAGATTCTTCTATCAGCCCAAAATGGCAATGTCTGCAGAGCTACATGTGATTTTTCAGAAAAATCTCTCACCTTTTTTAGCACCACCACTATGGGTAGCAAACATGATGCTAGTCTGTACATCTTCACTGCTGTCTTATGGATGTAAGGAAGAGGAGTTTTTCCAACTAAGTCAGATAGTAGAAATAGAAGCCAATGTCCCTGGGATTGAAGGCATCTAACTGAATGCTCCCGCTCAAGTAAAAAAAAAAAAAAATCAAACAAAACAACAACAACAACAAAAAACTTATAGAGCAAAGCACGACAATCCTGGGTTCATTAGCTCTGTGCCTAGGGCAGCTGGGAGTTATGGGTCGATTCCTTAGGGAAGCCCCAGAATCTGGACTCACACACGATACATATAGATACTTCAATACAGTGAAAAGAAGCCGCCACGATTTAATCGACAAGGTCCCTATCCCGTGGTCTCAGAGACAAGAAGAATGAGTCAAGAAAGAATGAAAGTTTACACATTAGGAAAACTAGATAATCTGAAAACAAAGGATGGAGAGGAGAGGGCTTCCTACTGCAGGGCATGGTGCATGGGCAGAAATAGTTATTTTGGGGTGCCTGGATGGCTCAGTTGGTTAAGTGTCTGCTTTCGGCTCAGGTCGTGATCCCAGGGTCCTGGGATCGAGCCCCTCGACGGTCTCCCTGCTCATCAGGGAGCCTGCTTCTCCCTCTCCCTCTGCCCCTCCCCCCCACTCATGCTCCCTCTCTCTCTCAAATAAATAAATAAAATATTTTTAAGGGCGCATGGGTGACTCAGTCGGTTAAGCGTCTGCCTTCAGCTCAGGTCGTGATCCCAGAGTCCTGGGATCGAGTCCCGCATCAGGCTCCCTGCTCCGTGGGAGGCCTGCTTCTCCCTCTCCCACTCCCCCTGCTTGTGTTCCCTCTCTCTCTGTGTCTCTGTCAAATAAATAAATCTTTTAAAAAAAAATCTTTTTAAAAAAAGAAATAGTTATTTCTCCCATTTTAGTGCCTGCTGAAGATACAAAGATAAATAATGCCCTTGACCTCAGTGAGTTTGTAGGATGCCACTTTGCATATGTAGGCATATCAGAATCAACACATTCCAAAGAAAACTCCAGGATCCCCATGCAATACCCCCCAAAACACACACAGCCTTACCCATCTCAGCCAATGTCACCAACCACCCAGTTGTTGGGGAAAAAATTTGCATTACCCTGATTCAACACTCATGCCACAATCAATCCATCAGTAGTCACGGAAGTTCATGCTTCAGAGTTTTCAAATTTAGATCCACTTCTCACTACCAACCATCACGTCTGCCTGGGTTACCACCACCTGACAGACTAGTGCCAAATCCTCCCCACTGGTCCCGTTCCAGTCTCACCCCTGCACAAGTCAGAGTGACCTTTCTACCAGGTAGGTCAAATAGCATGCCCCACTTAAACCCTCCCAATGACTTGACAGTATACTTAAAAGGAAATTCCCACCTCCTTACCACAGCCCACAAGACTCTACATAATCCAGCCCTTTTGCCTTATTTTCTTCCACTTTTCTCCTTATTCAAAATTCATAGGGCACCTGGGTGGCTCAGTCAATTAAGCATCCAACTCTTGGTTTCAGCTCAGGTCATGATCTCGGGGTCATGAGATCAAGAGTCTGCTTGATATTCTCTCTCTTCCTCTCCCTCTGCCCCTCCCTCCTGTTCTCTCTCTCTCTCTCAGGTAAATAAAATCCTTAAAAAAAATTCTTCAGGGGCGCCTGGGTGGCTCAGTCGGTTAAGCATCTGCCTTCAGCTCAGGTCATGATCCTGGAGTCCTGGGATTCAGCCCCGTGTCGGTCTCCCTGCTCAGTGGGGAGTTGGCTTCTCTCTCTCCCTCTGCCCTTCCCTGTCCCATTCATGCTCGCTCGCTCTCTCTCACTCTGCTCTCTCTCTCTTTGTCAAATAAATAAAATCTTTTTTTTTTTAAAGATTTTATTTATTTATTTGACAGAGAGAGACACAGTGAGAGAGGGAACACAAGCAGGGGGATTGGGAGAGGAAGAAGCAGGCTTCCCGTGGAGCAGGGAGCCTGACGCGGGGCTCGATCCCAGGACCCTGGGACCATGACCTGAGCCAAAGGCAGACGCTTAACAACTGAGCCACCCAGGCGCCCCCAAATAAATAAAATCTTAAAAAAAAAAAAGATCAAAGCATTACCCATGCTTTAATTGCTCTTGATCTTTCACATCTGAAGGTCATAGGTCTTTATTAAACTATACTTCCGGGATACCCCTAGCCTTGCCAGCCTTCAGGAAGGTCTTTCAGCTATTACTAAAACTGGAGAGAACAACCTGGTTTGAACAACGAATGGATGCACACCCAAAGCAAAGAAAAAAATGCAAGGCTATGGAGGAAATTAGGACAATCTACCTGAGCAGTAGCCTCCTTAGGATCTTGTTTCAAGTAGTGTCAATAGCTCCAAGAGGCTTGCGCTCACCTCTTCCTTCTGACACACCTGGAATAAAGAGATCCTTCGTGATTATACTTGACAGAATAGGTAACCTTTGAGAAACTCTTTGTGACACCTGAATTTGGCTGAGAACAGGGCGTAGGAACATGAAGATCTGGTACTCGTCCAAGCTCTGAACATCTCTGGCTCTTGTATGAATTTTCTCACGGCTATCCTGGCACTAGCCTTTTGGACATCTTCAAAGAAATGGCCTATTTCAGATTTAACACAGGTACCACATTGACCCTAGCCACCACCACCTTGCTTAGCAAAACTTTACCACTTGTGGACTAAACCACTTCATTTCCAGTCCAAGTCATATTTTGAGAATAAGCTCAAGGCCCTTCAAAAGTCTGTACCTAAGGGTGCCCAGGTGGCTCAGTCAGTTAAGTGCCCGCCTTCAACTCAGGTCATGATCCCAGGGTCCTGGGATTCAGCCCCGCATGGGGGGACTCCCTGCTGGGTGGGGAGTTGGCTTCTTCCTCTGCCTCTGCCCCTGCCCCATTCATGCACACATGCACGCGCTCTGTCAAATAAAATTAAATTAAAATCTTAAAAAAAAAAGTGTCTGTACCTATATCTCCTCCCCCATCACCCCCAGGCATCTAAGGTACATTAGTGGGGTCTGAGGAATACCCATGCCATTTTGTTTCCCACAAACATGAATGTTGCGCCCATTCCACTTTAGGGGGTAATTGCTCAGCCCCAAAACAGTTCCACCCACACCAACTACAGCTTCTATCCCTCTGGCATCTACCAATGAATGCTCACCAGAGAGACAGTACCTGGGGGAGACGACTCCTCCCCAGTATCCTAGGACCTAGAAGTTCCCAGCAGCCCCCAGTCACTTAGTCTCCTCACATCGACAGGCTCTATTGCTCACGTCTTCCTGGCTTTCTGGACTAGTCACCCTTGTGAAAAGAGTGCATTCTCCTTCATCAGATTTGGCAACTTGACTTTGGAACCAGCCATTGGCCTTGAAGATTTCTTACATTCACGTCTGACACAGCACGAGGTGCTCGCGGGTCCAGCCCTCCCTCGGCTTCCATCAGCATCTGGCCCTCTTGTGGAGCCACTCGGGCCTACCAGGCACCCCCAGCTCCACAACCAACCAGGCTTTCCACACCCTCCCCGGTATCCTACCCCATAGGCCTCTTCTATCCCTAAGGGTTCCCCCACTGGTTTTCAGCCCCCAGGTCTAACACAACCTGGCTACAGCAGAACTCAGCCCCTGTCGTGAGACGAAAGTGCCAACGGCTTAATATTACCCACAAGCGCCAGCAAGAGTAGCTCTTTCCGGGAGGCCCAGAGAGACTCAAGGGGAAACGCAGCCGCACAGCGCCCTCACGTGTTGAGGAGTGGTCGTGCAGCTGGGCAAACCGCCAAAGAGCAAAGCTGCGCTCGGAAAACAAACAGGAGTCCGGCAAAATTCCAGGGTCCAACGAAGCTTAGGCACACAGAATGAAACAATTCACCCTTTCACGGGCTTTCAAACTGAGAAGGAAAGAAACATGTGCCAGGTAACACAGTAAGATAAAAGCAAAGTCAAAGTCCTTGCAGGCAAAGGGCAGGCCCCGAATACCTTAAAGGATAGGACTCAACTCTGTGACTTGAGATTCGATTTTTCTCCACAACTGGTTGCTTGGGTAGTTTATAATAGCATATGGGAGTTTTAAGAGTTAGAAACAGTCACTTGTGGGGGCGCCTGGGTGGCTCAGTCGGTTGAGAGTCTGCCTTCGGCTGTGGTCAGCCTTCAGCTGAGGTCATGATCTCAGGGTCCCAGGATCCAGCCCCGCATTGGACTCCCTGCTCAGCAGAGAGTCGGCTTCTCTCTTTCTCTCTCCCCCTCTGCCCCTCCCCACTGCTCCTTCTCTCTCTCTTTCTCAAATAAATAAATAAAATCTTTTAAAAAAAAAAGGGAAACAGTCGCTTGGGGGTAAAAAGTGAAGTATGAATCAGAGTATTTTAGAGAGACTTACTGAAGAAAAAGAAAAGCAGTTAAGTTTTCTCATTTGTTTCCCAAACTTTCAGACCTAAGAATGAGCAATAAGGCAGAACAGAAATAGAAAACCAAAGGGATTGCAAGCCGTGAACCTTAGCTTTTTAACATTCACGGGCACGGGGCACAAGTGGTTTGTGGCCAAGGAAAGACTGGTCAAAAATCAGGCCAGGCTGTTTTTCAGCAGTGCTCTGTGTCACAAATGAAGCTGTCCTTCCAAAGATTAACTCACTTGATGATGGAAGATTCTCATTAGGTTCTAGCAAACACTGAGCAGTTTGGTGAAGAATGCCATTTTCTAAGAGAAACATGCATCTAGAAGCCAACAGAAAGGTCTTTGACTTCTTCCTTATTCTCAAATGAAGACGAAGCTGGTGGTGAACCCGCAATGGGGCCAGGGGTTGGGAGCATACCTGGGGAAGAACTGCTTTCAAATGAGCAGTCTGAGCTACATTTTGGCCACAGGCAACTTACAAAACAACACACAACAGCCAACATCTGACACACTCCGCTCTCTCTCTCCTTCAAGAAGAGTCTTGCACTGGTGCTTTTTGAGAGAACAATTTTTTCCCCCCAAGAAAATCAACCAACACATTGGCCGTTATTGTAGGGGCCAAGGTCAGGCCACACCAAAATGTGCCACATTGACATATTATATTTGACATATTGTTTTATTTTTTTAAAGATTTTATTTATTTATTTGATATTGAGAGTGAGTGAGAGAGAGCGCAAGAGCAGGGGCAGAGGCAGAGGGAGAAGCAGGCTCCCCACTGAGCAGGGAGCCCGACATGGGGCTCCATCCCAGGGCCCCGGGATCAAGACCTGAGCAGAAGGCAGGGGCCCCGAAATATTGTTTTAAATAAAAGTTACTTAAGAAGCAGCCAATGCAAAAAGAACACTCTGACCCTGCCCACCTCTGTCTCCAGAAAGCAAGAAATAAAACTCCCATATGAAAGGTGCCCTCTCTATATCAAGAGGTAAAGAGACATCCGTCTCACCAGAGATAGGAAATTTAGAGCTGAGAAGTCTATATAAACAACCCTTGCTACTTTTTACTAATTTACTACTCCAGCCCAAATTCTGTTTTGAATTCCTTACTAACTGAAGCTCCTGTTAACCTTAAAAATAAAACTGTCAGTTATTTTACCAGCAAAAATGGCTTTGTTCGGGAATAGCAGAGAATTGCAATCTGAGACAAGCAAGCTACAGTAAAACCATAGGTAAGTCCATGGAACAAAGGAAAGAAATACTCTTTTATAGAGGAAAGGGGGAAGTTTTGAAAGTTGTTATAAATAAAAAGTTCATTGGAGTAAACTGAGAGTTGAAAGGATAGTCGCTTTTCATTGGCTGAGTCGTGACTCTCACTGCCTGGGCTTTGGGCGGGGGGGGGGGGGGGTAGGGGGACAGGGGAGCCTTTCATCCTCCTCCATTATCAGTAAAGTAGAACCCAGGTGCTAGGTTTCGCTCTTCCCATTGGGTCTGCAATTGACAGTGAGTCGTAGGGTATGAGAGCGCCCCCTGCTGGCCTCCCGAGTCCATCCTAAGTGAAATTTCCTTTTATTGATTTTGCACACTCCCAAAGTTTTCTTTGTCCTGTCAATTCCTCCCAGATTTATCATCTCTGCCTAAAAGGTGCAAAAATTGCCTGGTCTTTGGTCATTTCTTTAGGTCTCAATTTCATTATTGGGCCTCCATGCACACGAAAAAAAAACTTTGGGTTTTTTTTTTCCTCCTGTTAAACTGTCTCCTGTCAATTTAATTCTTAAACCAGCAGGAAGTCCTTGAAGGGTAGAAGGAAAACTTTTTCTTCCCCTACCTTAGTTCAATCAGCTTCAAAGCACCTGGGGCAAACCTGTTGTCTGAGGGTCAGGTTTCTTGACCCTTGCAGCAAGTGAGAACAAACAACGGAGGAATTATGGGGCATTTCCCACCAAAGGAAAAGGTAGTTATTATAGAGTTTGGGGGGCAGAAGTGGAGTTTAGGTAAATGATGGGCTGAACAAAGAGAACAAAGTTTCTCAGTGAGTAGAAAACAAGTAGTCACTCAAAGGACTTCTGGCTATATTTTATCAAATGCTTTCTCAGTACATGTTATAATCATATAGGGTTTTTTTTCCCCTTTAGTCTGTAGCTTTAATGGATTAGGTTAATAGATTTACTGATCTTCAACTGGTCCTTCAGTCGTACTGTGTTTTCTTTTGATACATTGCTGGAGTCTATTTGCAATTAAGGGATACTGTTCTATAGCTTCATTTCTCCCTCCTTCCTCTCTTCCTCTCTCCCTTCTTTCCTTCCTTCTTTTTGTATTATATTATCATTGTCAGGCTTTTATATTAATGGTAGCATCGTGAAATAAACAAGAAATTTCCATCTTTTGCTTTAAAAAAAAAAAGTTCTTATATCTCACAGCGGCAACGACCTGGCGAAAAAATATTGTTTCCTATCATTTGCAGCTGGCTTCATCTGTATCCGTTATCCCAAGTTGCTGGATGACAAGGTAGATTTTTACCTCCTTGATCTAGGTGAATTTTTACCGTATCACGTCCAAGCCAGGCCTTTCCACTGCCCATAATTTGCTTGCCAAGTGTTTCATGAAAATTAAGTCTTCCTCTAACTCTGATGAGGGCAAAAAATTTCTAAGAGGACTAAGAGCAGGAAAAACGGAGGTCATCAGTGCTTTGCAGATGAAGAAACCCAAGATCAAATGCTTTCTCTTGAGTCCTAAGCATATTACAAAGGCAAACTCTTACGCGGAAAAAAAAAAAAGTTACACTAGGAGAGAGTTATCAAGGTGACTGAACAAGAGCTTAGTAAAGGCAGGGTCAATCAGACTAGAACATAACTCGATTTTCTAGTTTTTCTACAGCAGCAAAACTTCCACTAGAAGCAGATGAAATAATAGAGTTAACCCCTGCTGGCAATTGGAGAAAATCTTTTATTATCGCCTGTCTGACAATTTGATTAAACAAAAAAAGCCCCAAGTTATTAGATTAGTTTGGGCCAACTGATTTCAGAGCCAAAGACAAATTACATTTGGAAGTCACTGACTTTTTTTTTTAAAAGATTTATTTATTTGAGAGAGTGAGAATGAGAGAGAGAGAGAGTACATGAGAGGGGGAGGGTCAGAGGGAGAAGCAGACCCCCCGCCGAGCAGGGAGCCCGATGCAGGACTCGATCCCAGGACTCCGGGATCATGACCTGAGCCGAAGGCAGTCGCTCAACCAACTGAGCCACCCAGGCACCCTGAAAGTCACTGACATTTGAACATTATTGGAAATCTGAGGCCATTTCTACTGTCAGAGATGAGCAAGCACACAAAGACTCATGACACATGGGGAGGGTGGGGAGCAGTACTGCTGTATCTTCTGCTCATTCTGAGTCAAGACCAAGAACTTGCTTGGCTAGGAAAAATAAATAATTCTGGAGTCTCACCCCAACTCGGTCACACACTAACTCCAAGTCCTTGGGCAACTACACCTCCAAAGCTTCAGTTGTTGGAGTTATGAAGTAGGGATCCCACTTCAAGATGCCTCAAGATGAGGCCCGCCTGGGTGGGTTCACTCAGTTGAGCGTCTAACTCTTGGTTTCAGCTCAGGTCATGATCTCAGGGTCCTGGGATCGAGCCCCACGTCGGGCTCCACACTCAGTGGGGAATCCGCTGAAGATTCACTCTTCTTTTCATCTCCCTCTACCCCTCCCCCTGCTCATGTTGCTCACGAGCCCTCTCTCTGTCTCTAAAATAAATAAATAAATCTTGAAAAAAAGAGAGACTTAAAAGATGCCTAAAGACGAAATGAGAACAAAAGTGGAAACACTCTGTGAGCTGTACAGCACCACACAATGTAAAGTTATTATTGGCAATGGGTCAAGTCTCTGATCCACTTGAGGCAAGTCTTAATGCCAAGAAGAAAGCCAGGGAGCACCAATTTCAAGATAAGTTCTACTGTGACAAGGATAATCCACATATAATATAAATCACTTTTAGAAGTTGTTAGAGTAGGAGCACCTGGGTGGTGCAGTGGTTTGAGCATCTGACTCTTGGTTTCAGCTCAGGTTGTGATCTTAGGGTCGTGGGATCGAGCCCCCCACTGGGCTCCGCACTCAGGGTGGAGTCTGCTTAAGACTCTCTCTCCCTCTCCCTTTCCCCTTCCCCCCCAAAATAAATAATAATTTTTATTATTTTTATTTTTTAAAAGATTTTATTTATTTATTTGACAGAGAGAGACACAGCGAGAGAGGGAACACAAGCAGGGGAAGTGGGAGAGGGAGAAGTAGGCTTCCCACAGAGCAGGGAGCTGGATGTGGGGCTCGATCCCAGGACCCTGGGATCATGACCTGAGCCGAAGGCAGATGCTTAATGCCTGAGCCACCCAGGTGTCCCAATAATAATTTTTTAAAAAGAGAAGTTGTTAGAGTGGTTCCTGAGAAATCCTCTTGATTACACTCACAGCTCCTGCACTGAAAATTAATTGTACTCAGAAAAGAAATGACATGTG